GATGCTGAGCGATATTGAGCACTTTTTCATGTGTCTGTTGGCCATTTGGATGTCTTCTTTGGAAAAATGTCTGTTCATGTCTTCTGCCCATTTCTTGATGGGATTCTTTGTTCTTTGAGACACCCAAGTTTCTTGAAAGAGTAGATTAACCAGTGGTCTTCAAACTTTTTCTTGGACAATTCCTAAAAGTTTCATGCAAAAGCATGCAGTGGTTACCAGAAAGGGGGTAGGGGTGGAAATAGCCCTAGGGGTAAAAATACATGAAGGAGTTCTTCATTTACACTGGAAATTTTCTCATTCTTTCATCTTCTTGAATTTGCATTTCTATTCCACTTTCTCTAGGGAACTATGTTCTTCCTTTTCTATGTTTTGGAATAGTTTGAGAAGAATAGGTATTAACTCTTCTTTAAATGTTTCGTAGAATTCAGGATGCCTGGGTGGTTCAGTCGGTTAACCCTCTGCCTTTGGCTCAGGTCATGATCCCAGGGTCCTGGAATCGAGCCCCGCATCAGGCTCCCTGCTCAGCTCCCTCTGCCTGCCTCTCCCCCTACTGATGAGCGCTCGCTCTCTCTCTCTCTCTGACAAATAAAATCTTAAAAAAAAAAAAAAGAGGGGCTACCTGGGTGGCTCAGTCAGTTAAGCGTCTGCCTTCAGCTCAGGGTCCTGCTTCTCATTCTGCCTCTGCCTCTCTATCTCTCCTGAATAAATAAATAAAATCTTTAAAAAAAATACAATACTCTTAAAAGAGAGAGAGATGGGGAGCAGGAGCAGGAGGGGCAGAAGGAGAGGGAGAATCTCAAGCAGACTCCATGGCTGAACACAGAGCCTGACTCGGGGCTCGATCTTAGGATCATGAGATCATGACCTGAGTGGAGCCCAAGAGTTGGACGCTTAACCAACTGCGCCACCCAGGTGCCCTCCCAAAGGAATTTTTATAGGTTAAAGTAGACTTACAGGATCCTGGGGTTTGGGCTAAGATTGCCTTTTGCCCTTAACAAAGTACTAACCTTGAGGCAGCTGAATTCCTAGAGGAAGGTCACTCTGCCTCTTTTTTTTTTTTAAAGATTTTATTTATTTATTTGAGACAGAGAGAATGAGAGAGACAGAGAGCACATGAAAGGGGATAGGGTCAGAAGACGAAGCAGACTCCCTGCCGAGCAGGGAGCCCGATGCGGGACTCTATCCAGGGACTCCCGGATCATGACCTGAGCCGAAGGCAGTCGCTTAACCAACTGAGCCACCCAGGCGCCCGGTCACTCTGCCTCTTTAAAGGCGTTGTCAATGGGCTGTAAATAGTAAGGAAATTTAATTTTTCTTTTGCCTTTGTTTCCCACATCATTGGAGTTTTGTTTGTTGGGAGTTTTTTTTAGTACTGATTCAATTTCTTTGCTGGTTATAGGTCTGCTCAAATTTTCTATTTCTTCCTGTTTCAGTTTTGGTAATTTATATATAAATTTATCCATTTATTCTAAGTTTTCTAATTCCACAGATGATATTCTAAGGCAATCTATTTTATGCATGAAAGTCTTATCACTTTGTAATCACTTTTATCAATTTGTAATAATTCTCTACAATAAAAATATGTATATATGTTGAAATTTTAAATCTGTTTTACTTCCTATAACAAAAAGTCTCTTCTTAAACTTTTCTTCCAGATTGATTTATCACTTAAATTATTATTAGCAGGCAGGGCACCTGGGTGGCACAGTCAGTTAAGCGTCCAGCTCTTGGTTTCCACTCAGGTCATGATCTCAGGGTCATGAGATCCAGCCCCGAGTCAGGCTCTGTACTCAGCTCGGAGTTGGCTTGGGTTTCTCTCTCCCTTTCCCTCTGCCCCTCCCTGCTCATGTTCAGTCTCAAATAAATAAATAAATATTTTAAAAACTTATTATTAGCAGTCAATCAAAACAAGTATAAGTTTATATAAATAATTAGTAAACAAAAAGTCAAAATTGTATTGGAATTACAGCTCTTAATGAGATGGTTGGGCTGGTTTCTTTTAAAAACAATCTGTGGATGAACATTACTTTTTTCTCCAGCTTTACTGAGATATCTCAATTGACATATAACATTGTCTCTAAGTTTAAGATGTACAATATGATGATTTATGATGATTTATTTAATGCACATACATATTGCAAAATGATTACCATAAGGTTAGTGAACACCTCCATCATTTCACATAATTACCTTTTTTCGAGGCTGATGAGAACATTTAAGATGTACTCTCTTAGCAACTTTCAAATATATAGAATAGTAAGCAATAGTCACCATGCTGTACAATAGATGCCCAGAATTTATTCATCCTATAAGTGGAAATTTATACTCTGTCCTACATCTCCCCATTTTCCCCCACTTTCCAGTCCCTGGCAACCACCATTCTACTGTGCGTTTCTGAGTTCAGCTTTTTTAGATTCCATGTGTGAGATCGTACAGTATTTGTTTTTCTC